GCAAGGAGTTATAGTTAGGATGTTTGCCATAGAGCCTGAAAAAAGGAGAATCCATATTTAATTTTTGTGAAGGTAAACGATTTATAAGAAATACAACTGTAGAAAAACAATGAACCCAAAGTCGAGTAGGGAGTTTTGCATGGAACATCATTGTTAGTCCCAACTCTGTGATACTTCAATGCTTTCTCTCAGCAACTCCATTTTGTTGTGGAGTTTTTGGACATGTTGATTGATGTCGAATCCCTAAATCATACAAAAGTTGCAGCAGTCTTTTATCTGCAAATTCACCCCCTTTGTCAGTTTGAAGAGTTTTAATTTGTTTATTAAATTGGCACTCAATAAATTTTTGAAAGTGAACAAAGCAATCAAAGAAATCTGACTTTCTTTTAATAGGATAAAACTATTAAATCTAGAAAAACCATCTACAAAAATGACATAATATTGATGATTTTTAGGGGACTTTGTTGGGGCAGGGCCCCAAAGATCACAATGAACTTTATAAAAGGCTCATCGTATTCATCATCAGCTTGTAGAAAAAGAAGTCTACAAGATTTACCCATTTGGCAACTATCACAAACAAAGTTAGAGTTTGAACCTAAAGTGAAATCAATAAACTTTGGCTTTAAAAGAAAATCTATAACACGATAGTTTGGATGGCCAAGCCTTTGATGCCACCCTTCTTTATTTGTTCTTCTAAACCGAGTGGAGAAAATGTTGACTCAATGCACTTCAAGAGGGGGGGTGAATTGGAGTTGGAGAATTTTCTCCTCTTTGCAACCACCAAACAAAAATTAAAGAGAGAGTTGAGAAGAATAGCTTGCACAATGATTTTATAGAGGTTCAGTCCAACCACTTGGAGCCTAGTCCTCTACCTTGGCTTCACTCACCAAGGATTTCCTCCACACTCTCCACTAGCAAAAACAATGGTGGCTTAAAGGAGCCACTCAATCCTTTATAAGAAGAAGGGTTTCTCTCAAATCTCACCCCTTTACACTTTAAACCCCAAAGATCCTCTCTACAGGTCACTCTTGAAGGAATCAACACACCCCCAAGATCACTCACTAATAGCACAAGAAGAGGATTACAAACTAAGATCTCTCAAAGATCAAAAACTCTAGTTTAAGCACAAGTTGTTGGTAAAGATATTCAATACAATATTCTCTTGACCTCTTCAGATCTGTTACCAACCATATTTATACCCCCTTGCTTGAAAATAGCCGTTTCTAGCCGTTGGGGGTCATTAAATGCTCTGCAGGACACAAACCTCGAGCTACAGAATTGTTAGGAGAGTCGGCTTAACTTTCTAGAGCCGGCTTACACTTTCAGAGTCGGCTATCCGGGTTTGCAGCACATTCTGTTTTTTCTCGAGAGTCGGCTGCAAAACTTTGAGCTAGCTTTGCAACTCCGACTTTAAATACATTAAATAATCTTCAAATGACTCGACCATTATGCATTAAATGCACCCTCACAGCCGGCTTCAAAGCCAGAGCCAGCTTTGCGTCTTTTCTCCGCGCGCGCCAAGGAACGGTCTTCAAATTTTTGCCTGTAAAGCCGGCTACAGCTTCCAGAGTTGGCTCTCTGCATCCCATTTCACCAGAGCCGGCTGCACTTTACCAGAGCCAGCTCTCTACACATCTTGAATCCTTTTGGTCTATTTTTAGTGCAATCCAAGTTTACTTGCAATCTTTTAGCAACTTAACTACACACTTAAATAAACCAATTAGTCACTCAAATGTGTTTTGTAATCATCAAAATCATAGGTACAACAGAAAAGTGTCATATGTCTTTCCTCCAAAGCATCCTCTAAATCATATAGACCTCCAGTCTTTTTTCCAAAAGCAATTACCTTGTTGGTTCACTTGTCCCTAATAGAAAAGCCATTTGAGTCAAATATGAAAATATATGGCATATTAGTAGTAAGTTGACTAACTGAAATTAAATTTTTCTTAATATCAGGAACAAGTAAGACATTTTTCAATGGAATTGAGTTGTCACCAAAGGCAATGTTAGAATCACCAATATGTGTAATATTTAGTACTTCACCATTACCAACCATAACACCATCTCGACCATGATAATGTTTTAAGCTATTTAGCTTACTAGAATTTCCTGTCACATGGACAGATGCACCTGTGTCTGGATGCCATTCAAGCTCTTGATTGTCATCAATGGTGATGGCTGCTAATGCCTTTGGAATGTCATCTTCTTGATATGAGTGATTAAATCTATTGAAGCACTTCAGAGCAGTATGATTGAGCTTTCCACAAATTTGGCATTTGACTGCACTCTCCATGATGGGATTTTGAGCTTCAACCTTTTGTTTGTTGAAGTTGTTAGGCTGATTCCTCGTAAAGTTAGATCCAACGTTCTTATTACCTGCATGAGAAAAGTAGCTTGCACTAGCACTGTTATAAGTGCTGTTAGCTCCATTGCCTTGAAAGAAACCTTTTCCTTTTGAGTTGAATTTGTTGAAGCTGTTACCTTTCCTCTTGTTTTGGTTTCCATTGGTCTGTTGGCCGTAAAAGGCCACTTGAGGATGATTATAAGTTTCAAACCCATGTATTTGGTTCTAGGTCTCATGACTTTTGAGAAGAGATACAACTTCTTGGTATGGTGGAACTGGAGGTTTCAACATGGTTGTCACAAAGTTCTCATAGCCTTGGCCAAGTCCTTGTAACACCCAAAAGAAAGCCTTTGTCTGGTACTGGTTTCCCTATAGCAGCAAGTTCATCACAAGTAGCCTTGAATTTTCTTAGATATTCAGTCAATGAATCGTTACCTTTCTGCAATGTGGTCATTGCTTGTGTCAAATTGAACTCTCTCTCTTGAGAGTCTTTGGCATAAGCTTCTTGTAAAGCATCCCAAACCTCACGAGATGTTGTGAGTCCTACAACGATTCCAAGCACTTCTTCAGAAAGAGTTCCAGTGATCCATCCACGTAGAAGGTGATCAGACCGCCTCCATGAGATATAAACTAGGTTTGGTACCTCTTTGGGCCCCTCAGCATCAGTGCTGTTAGTTGGGGTGATTTTAGCTACCAGCATGACACACTCTCCATCTAGGAATCCTTGCATGTCTTGACTTTCAATTAAGGCAGCCATTTGAGTCCTCCATAATAGATAGTTGGTGGGACTGAGTCATAGGGAAACAAAGTTTGACACATTGAGAGTAGAAGGATATGGGTAGCTACTATTTTGAGATGGGGCCATTATAGAATGGGAATAAGAGAATAGAAATAAAATTGAAAGAAACTCTCTGATTCCTCACCGACAAGGCTCTGATACCATAAAGAAATATTTGAAATCAAAGTTTCTCTCTCTCAAGGTGAGCAGAGAAAGAGAGTTTCTTCTATTTATAGTTACATTATGCAGTAAATAGCATGATTTAAGGTATGATTACAATATAAATTTGCAACGGCTATATCTCCAACGGTTGCATTTTACAATTTCTTTGATTGCTGATTTTCCTCCAAAGCATTATTGCCTTTTGATTTGTTTCCTTCTGAAGGTTCTACACAATGATCCTCACGAGTCAAAGCATTCCCATGTGAATTATAAGTCAAGACTTTATTAGAGTTATGGGCCAACGTGCTTCACAAATGATATATATATATATATATATAATTCCAAGTTTTCTAGTCAACGTCCATGGGGTGAAATTAAGTTCTAATTCATATTAATTTTATGTGATTCTCATAACATAATTTCATGATAGGTTCCCTTCATTCTCACCAGAGAAAGCATGACACTTTGTTGAGGCTGAATTAGGAGCCCATCGAAGATATATTTAAGGAGTTGGAGAGCTGACCAATTGCAGCAGTGGTCTTTACCAGGTGTTTGTTTCATCTTCACGATTCCTTTTTGGTTTAACCTTAAAGATATTAAAGATATTAAAGATATTAAAGATATTATGGGATTATTTTCCTATTTATTGCCTTTTTAGTATCTTGGAGAATGATTGTGTACTATTAGATGAGAATTTAACAGCATGATTAGGAAGAAGAACTTAATAAAGTTTCTTAACGTTTGCAATTCTAGAAATATAAGATAAAATAACGGCTAACACCTTATGTTCTCTTTCTAAAGCAATGGACAGAAGCACTGTTGCTTATTAGGTTGCTCACATCAATTTGAAGCTATGTCAGTTATGCTTCTAATTCAAATTGTGGACTAACCAGTCACAAACAATGATAGCTTATAATTGTCATATAATTCACAATTTCAAGTAGAGATAAATTGTCTTCGTTGATATGAATTTTTAAGATTTCACTTTTGGCACTCTTGTTGCACCAAGCTACATTGCATAATGGGGAGATCATTGTTGTGACCGTAAAGTGAAATAAAACTAATTTTATGCAAGGTCAAGTTGAGATAACTAAAAAAAAAAATAGAGTATTATTTTGCATTAAAATTAGCAAATTAATCTTGTGCATGTCTACTTTGCTTATGTGTTTAATATCTTTTCACATTTTCATTTTTGTATTTTCCATTTTAATTTCATTCTAATTTGTTACATTTAGTTCTGGAATAATACATTAATTTTTTTTTAATTATATATATCTTGTTATTTCAGGTTCACCATTTTGTTGAGCTCTTCCTCACATTCCAGTCATAGTTTGCAGCTTCAAAACCTTTCAAATTATGAATATAGTATTTAAGAATTTAATTTCATCTTTTGTAACAAGATTCAATAGTTTATACTCTTTATTTTAACTATTATTAGGCTATGAATGTTAATCTTAACTTACTACTTGATTGGAATGATTTGTTTTTATTTTATCTTCAAATATTTTATATTTTGGATTTTGATGTTAATTTCAATTTATTTCTTTGATATTTGATATTTGTTTAAATTTGCAAAATAAAAAAAAATATTTGGACATTAAAATCAATAAAGAGAAGTGGTAAAAATTTTAAAAATGTGGCGCTCAATGTCAGCGTATATAAAATGCCAAACTTACTAGTTTCCATCCAATTTTGGGAGAGAAAAAGACAGCATCTTCATGGCCTTATTCCAGTATATTGAAGAAACGCTGTCTTTAGTTAAGTTAATCCAGCGTCTTCAGAAACGTTGGTCGGTACAAAAAGCGACTGCTCTACAGGCGGCATCTTTCCAGCAATTTAAGAAATGCTGGAACACTTTTTTATAGCGTTTATAAACGCTGGCTTTTAGCCCCAAAAATGCTGACTTTTCCCTGTTTTCTCGACTTTCCACTGTGCTAGCAGTCAAGTAGAGTGGAAAAATTCCTTCCGCAGCTTGTCAAGTTGCATTACTTATCTACCTTTAGCTAGTATGGCATACAACATATGGGCAAGACACCGATAAGGGCCGGGTAATTTGAAACATTTGATGAAAGTTGTTATCAGGCAATCCTCTACTTGGTGGGAAACCAATAAAAAGTTCCTAAATAATAAGTCCACCATCACTGACCTGGGAAGGTCCAACCCAGGGTAGAGAAGATGGTTTTATCCATATATGTGTTTTTTCTATATTAGTTTGATTGAGTCTTACATAATGATATTTGTAATTTTTTTTAATTGTATGATAATAGATAATTTTCTCGTATTTTTTAACTCATTTCACTTATTTATGTTGTAAATTTTAATTAAAAATTGATTTGCAAATTTAATAAGCATGTGCTTTTTTGTTTTCAAGGAAGAACCCATGCGTTTTTGTCTCATTGAGAGGACCCATGCGTTTTAGCTTTTCAAATGGCTTAAAGCAATATGTTAGTACATCAGTTTCAATTATTATTTTGATAACCAAAAAAAACATTCATTCAAATTTAATGTTGTGTCTCCTTCGGTTACATTGTGAAGGCCTATATATAGGCAGCTTCCATGCCTACCAAAGGCTGATACATTTTTCTGTATTTTACATTTTTATTCCAAAAAAGACACAGTATACAACTCTCTTTGGGCAAAGGAAAAGGTGGTGGGATAGAGCTTTCTTTACAAGAGTGCAGTACTTGTAAAGATACAACAAGGAGGTTGGACTGTTGTATCCTGGGGGCGGCGTGACCATAAAAATCTGTTGCACCAGTGGCTCGAAACGTCCTAAAGAGAGTGATTGATCCACGCCTCAGCTCAAGCTCCTCATACTTTCGGTGACATCTTTCAACTTTTCATCTTCATCTTTAATTAATTGTTTTTTGCTATTCTTCTATCTATTTTCTTTTCTATTTATTTTTACGAGGAACAACAATTTTAGGACGTTTTGAAAGAAAAATTCTTTAAAAACAAAATGAGTTTACCTCGTGAAAAACCTGTTAAGCTCGCTAATGATCTTAACATGCCTTTTCATTTTAATGATGAGCATTTCAAAAAATGGAAATTGTTATGAATTTAATGCGTGCAGATATGTGCTCCTTTTGCTGCTATCGTACTCTTAATTTGTGAGATATTTTCAAAAGAAAATAAAAAAAAAGAGTAAAAAATTACTAGCATGTGAAACTATTATGCCATGATGCAATCTTTAAAGAGTTGTATTTGCAGCTAATAAATTTCAACATGAATGTGATTTAACTCCAACGGCTAGTAAAATATTAAGTGCATTGGTTATGCCATTATGTGTAAAATATTTTTTATAATCATATATTTTGTTAGTTGATTATTTTTTCTCTCTAACAAATCTTTAGTGAATGTTGTGTTGTCTTACTCATTTAGGAACCATGGAAAATGGTCTATGAAAATTTTGACGAAGTGAAAAGACTAAAGAAGAGAGCTATCCAATTTCGTCCATGCAACAATTTTGAAAAAAATGGACTTGATATTTGGGTTGATATATTTTGGAAATGTAAGCTAATTTTTTCTTTAAGCTTGCGTGACCAAGGACCCTTTTGTGGCGATGAAAAGTGAGATGAGCAAATATGCTCTTATAAAAAACTTGTGAGCAAAATGAGTTTCTTCATGAACTCAATTATTTGAGAAATGTGATAATCACATATTCGAAATGCTCCCAATGTGGGGGATTGTGATATCCCTATATATTATTATTGGTGATGAGACCAATGATGCCTAATTGAGATTTTGCATAGCATTCCTATTATACGATAAGGTGTAGTGGTGCTTAAGAAAGTAAATGTGATATGCATTCCTATTATACAATAAGGTGTAATGGTGCTTAAGAAAGTAAATGTGATATGCACTCCTATTATACAATAAGATATAATGGCGCTTAACAAAAAAAATGCGATATGCATTCCTATTATACAATTATGGTATAATGGTGTATGATGAGGAAAAAAAAAAAAGGCACTTGAGAAAAGGGATATGTGATGGACATTCCTATTGTACAACAAGGTACAATGGTGTTTGAGTTAAAATTCTTAAATACATGTTTTGACATGTATGGAAAGAAAAAGGTGGTTCACTAGCTTGATATAAAAAATTGTGGTACCATGAATTGAGAAATTGAGAAATATAAATGTGAATTTTATGAGCTAGCAAACAAGTGGGTTGATGTGAAAAAGTGAGGATAAGAATGAGTTAAATCTCTTCGTTACCCACTATACCACCAACTAGGCCTTTGGCAAAATCAAAAGTTGGAGGAAAATCTATGATCATAGTCCAAGGTCTAGTGCTCATCGAGGGGAATGGGATTCAAGCCCAATAATGTAGAACTTCCTATGAGGATACCCAACCCGAATTCTAAGAATTGGGTTTCGAATGGGAAAAACGAATCATAGAGAAGTCATTGTTGAAAGATGTATCAATATTTAACGAAAAAAAATTTTCGGTCCCATTCCTAAGGTGAGGATGCATCAATCCCATAACGAATTAAGGGTTGAGTTTTATACTCTTAATGAAATTTGTAGCTCATAGAGTGGGGTGTCTTAGCTATGGGAGCATCCTTGACAAATTTCACCTATATGGATGTCGGAGTGGGGCCGTTCCTATGAGAATAGGGTTATTCTCTAAATCATCCATGAATACCAGGATTAGGCACAAAGGCCGTAATGTGCCGGCTTATTAAGCTCAAATTGACACCTGGACTTTTATGTGTGTGATGTGGTCTCCTATATCCTCAAATAGTCATAGTTCAAGACTTTGTTCACTAGAGACTATGGAATAGGAATCACTGACTCACTAAATAGAGATTCAAGGCATTGCTACCTCTATTATGCATAATAGTCTGTCCTTGCCTAAAGTCTTCACCTTCTTAAATCCTTTCTTTTTAATTAAAATGGAGGGGGAATGTTGTAAATTTTAAT